TGTTATGTGCCGTCGAGTCACTTGCGACTCATAGTGACCCTATGTACAACTTCCCTAAACTCTGCTCTGTCCTGTGCCGGTCACCATCGTGATTATCACACTCACTGAATCAATCCACCTCATACAGAGCCTTCCCCTCCTGCGCTGTCCCTCCACCCTCCCAAACATGATGTCCCTCTCCAAGGACTGGTCCCTCCTTATAACATGTCCAAAGCATGTTAGATGGAGCCTCAGAATCCTTGCCTCCAAGGAGCCTCCCGGTTTAACCCTTCCAGGATGAATCTGTTTTCCTAGCAGTCCATGGTACCCTCAATACTCTTCTTCAGCACCAAAGCTCAAAGGCATCAATTCTCCTTCTATCCTCCTCAGTCATTGTCCAACTCTCTGATGCATAATAAATGATCGCAAAGACCATGGCCTGTATCAGACGCACCTTAGTCTCCAGAGAGACACCAATGCTCTTCAATACTTTGGAGAGGTCCCTAACAGCAGACTTTCCCATGGCAATATGTCTTTTAATTTCCTGGCTACTGGTGCTGAGTGTTGACTGTGGAGCTAAGCAAACTAAAGCTGTGAACAATCTCAATCTCTTCACCATCCATCCTGTGCTGCCAACTGGCCCAGTGGTGAGAATCTTTGTCTTCTTGACATTGAGCCTCAATCCATATTGGAGGCTGCAGTCCTTGACCCTCTGCAGTAAGAGCTTCAGGTCCTCCTCCGTTTCAGCAAGCAAGGTTGTGTCATCTGCATATTGCAGATTGTTGATAGATCTTCCACCAATCTTGATCCTACTCATTCTTAATCACTTTTTATGTTGTTTCTTAAGCCATAGCAGACTTTTTGGACAGGCAAAAAATGAATAGTAATACCGGATTCAAAGCAAAATTTAGAAGTAACAAGCAAGCCTTTTTCTGACTATATTTTATTGATATAATTTTTATAAATTATTCTTCTTAGTCTTTGCAGATATAGCAGGAGATGTTCAACAAAAAACTAGCTTTCCCAGGAACAACAAAGTATTTTTTAATAACAATTTACAGTTTATAAAGCTCTTTCATATGCATAATCTCATTTTCTCTTTATAATAATTTCATGCAGTTGTCAGGACAACAATTATTAGACTGCATTTATAGATGGGAAATAGTATATCTGAGAAGTTAAAGGAACACCTCAAAGTCATATATTTAATAAATGTAAATGATAAAATCATAGATCTACTAAATAGAAATTGCTGCTGTATTCTTTCAGCAACTAAATAGAAACTTTCTCAACATACCATCATTTTCCTTACTTATCTTAGTATATCCAAAAATATAAAAATTATCACAACAATAAAAAGAAAATATATATTCAGATTATTTTGGATTATAGGTATCAAATTTACTCTTTATATTTTCATTATATAACCGTGATGGCAAAATGATTAAGCTGTCTTCCTGCTAACTGAAAGATAGGTGGTACAACCCACCAGGGCCTCTAAAAGAGAAAAGACCTAGAAATCTACTTCTATCAACATTACAGCCTAGTAGCTCAGTTAACCAGTTCTAGTTAGTCAGGTAATGTTGCTATAAGTTTTGACAGATTTAACAGGATATGACAATGCTTTTCATAAACCATGGTTAAGAGTTCTTGTGTTCTAATCTCTGTGTCCCTTTCAACACTTTTTTATGTCTTCTTAAGCAGATACTTTCCTTTGTTTTACATGCACTCACTATGACTTAGACCAGCTTTACTGTACCTGAAAATAACAATATTGTTATTGTCATTATTGTTGATAATGTGTCCATTTTGTTTAGTCATTTAATGAAACAAAGAGCCAGCCACAATCTCTAACTCTTAGAACCATGCTGGTTTTATGTTTTTGTCACCTGACACTTGGGGAGGGAGCTGTGGTGGTCTAGTGTTAAGGAGTTCTACTGCCAAATCAAAGGGAAATGGTCTGAATGAAATGAATAACTGTCTCATTTATATTTATCCTTTTAAAAAATTTCTCATTTATAAATATGGGCTAATAAATGATGTTTTTCATAACAAGGATACATAACCAATACTGAGTAGTTTTGCGTATTAATTCTCAATAGGATGTTATCACCGCTGTGATACATCCTATAAACTCTAGAAAGAGAAAGTTATCAACCTTATCTTATGTAACGTATTTTATTTTTTGGAAAGGAGTGAGAGTGGTGCTTATGATTTGAGCAACAATTTTTGGAAGTATTTTAGGAAATACAAAATATTGAAATTCTGAGACAAGATTTTCTTTTTTTCAAGTTTTAATAAAAAAATTATTTCTTCAACAGTTACATTCTTAAGTGAAATTGGTGCTAGAGTTTTCTTAACTGCTAACTACTGCAGTACAGCTTAACTTCTACTTTTATGCAAACTAAAAGTAAAGCCATTTAAGTCAGTGCTTTTTGCATCACAAGCACAAATGGCAACATAATAGAAATCATACATGTGAACTTATTAAAAGGTGTTAACAATGGTATAGAATAAAGTTTTTTAATTTCATGCTGAGTACTGTTTTCACTGTATCCCAAAGATTTTGACCAGTTTTTAATTTTTCTTCAATTCATTAGTTTTTTAGTATTCCCATTACTTTGTGTCCTGAAAATGATTTCTTTATTCTGGAGAATGGTCAGTGCACAGTGGGATAGAACATATATTAAGGAACTGTTATCTGGTTATGGTCTATATATGAGTTAGTTCTACCTGGTTAATTGTTAGTCTATAGCATTTGAATCCTTTATTCTGCAAGTATTTGCTTTATAAATTTCAGGGCTCTGATGTCAGGTATATAGATTTTTATAACACTATGTTTTCTGGGTAGATTTGTTCTTTGTCATATAATGCTCTTTGTTTTGATGAATTTTTACCTCAAGTCTCCTTATAAGATACTTATATTGTAAAAATATTAATGTTAATACTAATTCGATTACTGTGGGGGGAGGTTTGTATTATTCCATATGCCCACAATTGATTTTTTGCCCTTTTACTATGTTCCTCAGGGTATGCCATATTTTTCATCCATTTTTATCACTTATCCAAGAATTTTACTATTATTATATTTGTATGTGAGGTTGATTGCTTCTTTGTTCCCTTTTACTTCAACCATGTAGATTGAAAAGAAAAAAAGAAGATTTTCCCTTTTATTGTTGTTTTTTTGTATTATGAGTCATTTTTTCTTTATTTTGGTTAGCAGATCTATTTACTTTCTTTGTGGGTATCCTAAGATTTTTTATTTATTTACATTTTTTATTATTATTAATTTTAATGAACATTTACAGAGAATTTGGATTTCCATTCATTCATTGTTGTACTTTTCTCCCTGGCCCCCCGCCCTCTCGCCCCGGCCAGTTCACTCTTCTCTTTGAAAAGCAAAAGATAAATTCCTTCATTGGTACACAATCCTTCCCGCTCTCCCCCACCCCCACCCCGAGTATACTCCACTCTGCAACCTTCATTCCAGACTCTTATGGTAATCATAATACCCTAAAATATATTGCTTTTAAACTGTTCTCTACATCATCCATTTCAATGCAGTATACATAATTTATCTAGTTTTTCTCATTCTTACCCCAACCCTGATGTCAGTCCCATTCTACAGCAGTGGGACTATGCAGTGTTTGTCCTTTTGTGACTGAGATATTTCACTCAGCATAATGTCCTTGAGGGTTACCCAATAGAAAAGTGAGAACAGGATATGAGCACACACTTCTCCAAAGAAGACATTCAGATGGCCAACAAGCACATGAAGAAATGTTCAAAATCCCTAGCTCTAAGAGAGATGCAAATTAAAAAAAACTATGAAATATCATCTCACCCCAGTAAGACTAGCAAAATTTAACAGAACAGGAAGCAACAAATGCTGGTGAGGTTTTGGAGAGACTGGAACTCTTATTCACTGTTGGTGGAAATGTAAAATGGTATCCTAACTTTTATAAACTTAATGTCCCACATTTAAAACATTTAAAAGTGCTATTTTTTTAAAAACTACCTTTAACTTCTTCACTGTGTAAAAATTCTGTATTAAACTAATCACATTTATTTTTATTTCTTATTTCATCTTTGTATCCTATAATTCCTATTATTTACTTTTTTTACAATATGTATTCAAGTTGCTATGCGATATCACTATCCTTGGTTCCTGACTCCTATTAGTTTCCTTTCTGGAGGACTCTTATTAATATTTTTAATAGGTCAGGTCTGCTAGTTGAAAATTCCTTTAAATACTATTTATCTGGGAATATCTTAATTCCACCCTCAATTTTGAATGACAATTTTTCTGGGTACATTATCTTTGGCTAATAGTTTAGTTCTTTCAAGATTCTGTATATGTCACTCCATTGCCTTCTTGCCTGCATCATTTTAGAGGAGAAATCAGCACTTAATCTTAAAGAGATACCCTTGTATTTGATATTTTCCTTTTTTTTTTTTTTTTGGAGCTGCTCTAAAAATTCTTTATCTTTGGTTTTGGAAAGCTTAATTATAATATGTCTTGGTGTTTTTCTCTTATGGTTGAACAAAGATGGGGTTCATTGAGCTTTTTCAATTAAAATCATGTCTTTCATAATATCTGGAAAGTTTTCTGCCATTATTTCTTCACATTTTTTTTTCTGGACTTTGTCTCATTCCTTCTGGCATTTTCATTATGCACATATAGTTTCTCTTGATGGTGTCCTGCAAAACCATTATCTCCTGTTTGGTTTTCTTTGTTTTTTCCACATGTTCTTCAAAACATGTAACCTCAATTTTTCCTTCTATTTCACTAATTCTTTCTTCCATTGCCTTGAGTCCACTTTCATCTTTTTTTCTTTAGTATTATTTATTTCTGCTATTTTATCATAAAGCTCTGAAATTTTGGGTTTTTTTAATGTAAGATTTCTACCTCTTTAAGGAATTTTTCATTTTGTTCTTGTATTATTTTCCTGAATTCTTCTCAAATTTTTTCCTGTGTTTTCCTTTATTTTGTTGAGAAAACTGAGTAATTGTTTTATGACATCTTTGTCAGGAGGAATTTCATGGTGACATATGCCTGATATACTAGACTTTTTTTTCAGTGGAGAATTAAGAAAAGACACCCACTGTCCTGATGATTCCAATACCTTTATATCATTTACAGTTCCTTCTAGAAGTTTCTTTTCCTCTTTCTGTTCATCAGAGTTAAGTGAAGTGAGCGAGCTCTGAGACAATCCCAAATCTCCACAGCTGCTAGGTGAAGGTCCAGAGCCTAGAGTGCAGCTTGATGGCTTCACTTGATCTCTGCTGCCCCGTAATGATGAAGACTTGGAGAAACTGGATGGCTGGATCACAGTGGAGGATCTCTGGTTACCCTTATCCCACCCACATCTTCTAATAGCTGAAGCCTGCTGCTGAGTTTGCTTTCAGGCCCTGTCTGCACTTCTGGCATAGGGATGCTCATTCCAGCACCAATATCCAAAGCAGCACCAGCCTTGAAGAAAGAACTGACAAATAGACATGGAGACGGTTCACCCTTGAGCTATCTTCACTCTGCATGAACAACAAAGTCTCCAGCAACTAAAGGTGCACAAGCTGGCTGGTGTCCATCAGCCTTCCACACTAGAGATAGGCTAAGAGACTAGATTTTAGAGAGTATTTATTTAGAACAATAAGCCAAAAAATTTAAACTGATAATTGCAAATTGATTTCAAATTTCTAATCATAAAGAAGAAATTGTGTTTAACCCTGAGGAAAATGGAAATCCCAGAACACCTAAATCTGATTAAGTGAAACCTGTACTTGGGTCAGGAAACAGTACTCAGAACAGAGCATGGTTCAAAATTAGGAAAGGTGTGGGCCAGGGATGATGTATCCTGTCTTTGTATATTTTCAGTCTATATGCAGAAAAGATTATTCCAGAAGCTGGGTCTTATGAGGATGAATGTGGCATTAGAATTGGAGGAAGACTCATCAACAACCTAGGTTAAGCAGAGGATAAAACCTTGCTTGTTGAAATAGAGGCTGACCTGAAGCCCTTACTACAGAAAGTCAAGGACTGTAGTCTTCAGTATGGATTGAATCTCAACATCAAGAAGACAAAGATTCTGATCACTAAGTCAATTGGCAACACCATGATAGATAGAGAGGAGATTGAGGTTGTTAACAATTACAGCTTGCTCAGCTCCATAATCAACATACTTGGCACCAGGAGTCAACAAATCAAAAGACAAATTGCGCTGGGAAAATCTGCTATCAGGAATCTTTTCAGAGTACTGAAAAGCAATGAGTTTAGTCTGTAGACTAAGGTGTGCCTAATCCAAGCCATGGTCTTCACAATTATGTATCACAGAGCTAGGCAATGACTAAAGATTAAAGAAGAATCAATGGCTTCAAGTCATGGTGCTGGAGAAGAGTCTTGAACATACGTTGGACCACCAAGAAAACAAATACATCTGTCTTGGAAAGGGTGAAACCAAGTTTTTCCTTGGAGATTAGGATTTTGAAAGTCTGTCTCACATACATTGGGCATGTGGCCAGGAGGGACCAGTCCTTGGAGAAGGACATCATGCTCAGAAGTGTGGAGGGACCATGTAGGAGAGGAAGACCCTGGATGAGATGGATTGTTACATTAACTATGGCAATGGGGATTGGTGTGTCAGAATCAGTGAGACTGGCTCAAGACAGGGAAGGCTTCAGAGCTGCTGTCCATAGCAGGGTCACTAAAGGTCGCAGGTAACTTGACGGCACATAACAACAACAATGACAGCAACAACAAAGTCTACTCTGATGTATTGTTAGACATTTTCAAAGTTTATGAGTTAATAATGATCTTAAGGGCATTATTGACTCTTTCAGGAAAACTTAACTATTCTTAATTATCAACACTTTCCTTAAGATGTGGAGAAACAAATGAGATGTGTCTCCAAAACTGAGATGTATTATGTAGTCAGGCTAAGAACTAGAGAAAACAGAAGCATTTAAAGATTAATTTGGATAAGCAGTGTTGGGAAGATTGAAGAGATAATAATGAAATGGAAAAACTAATAAAGAAATTGTTAAATTAGATAAATTTTTCACTTCTTTCCCCCCAAGGATGTTGTTTTAAAAGGATATGAAAAGTGTGAAAAAATAAAGATTCCATATTAAACATTAAGTTGCATCTGACCAATAGTGTTTTGTTGCTTTTTCTTTTAAAATTGGTATGTTTACAAAATTCATATACCTTACATTTCATGCTATTCTTCATTCACATTATGTTTCATACAATCATTCTCATGCCTTATGGATTTTTTTAATTAAAATTATTATTTTGCATTGGTTTACTTTCAAAATTCATATTCATGGTTTTTCACACCAGATCTTTTCCATTTTTCTTACCTACCTCTCCCTATACCTATCAAATTGTTTGACCCTATGGTTAACCACCCCACACGCCCCCTTCCACTCATCCACATCCCTCTGTTCCCACCCTCCTCCCATTGGATCCTCATCCACACTTTACTATAGTTTTGTACTGTATTTGTCCTTATGGGACTGAGTTGGTTCACTTAGCATAAACACTCTCTAGTCCCTCCTAAGTTAGGTAGTGATTTACAAAATCATTGTTCCTGTGTGCTGCATAGAATTGCATTGTGTGAAAATACTATAATTTCTCAGTCCATTCAATTGTGGTTGGATATTTGGTATGTTCATGTTCTTGCAATGGTGAATAAAGTTGTTATGATCATTAGTGTACAACTCTCCTTTTGTGCCTCAATTCTTATTTTCTTGGGGTATGTTCCAGACAGTGGAATAGCCAAGTCATATGAAACTTCTATGTTCAGCTTTCATGAGGAAATGACAAACTGCCTTCCAGAGTGGCTGTACATTTTAAATCCCACCAACAGTGTATCTTGCCACATCCTCTCCAATATTTATTTCTTTTTGTCCTGTTAAACTTTGCCACTGCTCCTGGAGTGAGATGGTATCTCATTGTGGTTTTGATTTGTATCTCTTTTACTGCCAATTATTTTGAGCATTACTTCATGTATCTGTTGGCCATATGAATATCTTCCTCTTTTTCTTGTTGAGACCCTGTAGGATTTTCTAGACTTTCTTTTGTAACCCAGTCATGTAGAGAGTTATTCAGTTTCCCCATAGGTGGTTTTGTAAGCTTTACCCTCCTGTGGTTAATGTCTAGTTTTATGGCATTGTGATCTGAGAAGATGCTTTATATCATTTCAATGTTTTTTTTTTAATTTGTTGAGTCTTGTTATGTTTCCTGATATGTGATCCATTCTGCAGAATATACCATGTGCACATGAGAAAAAGGTGAATTGAGTTTTAGTTGGGTGTAGTACCCTGAATACATCAACAAGGTAAAGTTAGCTGATTGCATAGTTTAGCTGTATCTTTGTTAAATCTCTTTTAAGTTGACCTATCCTTTGGTGATGGTGGTGTGTTGAAGTCTCCTACAATCATTGTCGTACTATTTCTTAATTGAATTCTATTAACTGTTGTTCTATATATTTTGCAGGACTGTCATTTTATGTATAAATGTTGACAAAAACTTACGTGTTTTTGATCTATTGTGCCTTTAATCAATGTATAATAACCTTACTTATCTTTTATGGTGGTTTTCATTCATTCTGAAGTCTGTTTTATCAGAGATTAGTATTACCACTCCTGCTTGCTTTGTGATTGCCATTTGCGTGAAATATTTTTTTTCAGCCTTTAACTTTGAGACTTTCTGTCCATTTTTAAAATGTGTCTCTTGTGGGCAACATATTGATGGGCTTTGTTTTCTCATTCATTCTCCTACTCTTTTTCTCTTAATTGGTACATGTAGTCCTTTCATGTTAAGTGTGATTATTCTCAGTCCAGGTTGTGTTTTGGTCAGTTTTGTGGTGTTTCTTTTTCCATTACTGGTTACTATGTTTTCGGTTATTATGGTCCATCCACTTTCTTATTATTTTTCTTTTTTAAACAGCTTTATTGCTAAATAATCCACATAACAGATAATTTACTAAAGTAGCAATTCAGTAGATTTTAGTAATTTCTTTTATTTTTACAACATATTCTACCCATTTAATTTTTTATCTACACTCAGTCATCTTTGCACATTTTCCTCCCTACCCACCCATGACCCCAGTTCATGAAAAGTTCTTTGAAAAGAAAAAA